TTATTATTATTTACATTTTATTAGAATACATGTCGTGCAGACAGGCACAAAACCCATGAAAACGTTAAAATAAAACAAATTGTTAATTTGTTGGTGGGTGAGACGGGTAGAAAAGCAAAAAATAAGCAAGCGAACACAAAGCGATTGTTTAAAGCACCTGACGGAAGCCAATTCATGTAATTCTCGTAATGAACCGCTGGGGGCGGTAGCGATTTCTTCCGGCTGTTCGTCTGCTGCATCAAAGAAGTGTAATTTTGCGCATGCGCATCTCTCCCGTGCCTTCGACCTCTACTTTACTTCGGTGAGAGCTAGCCTTCCCCGGCAGAAAATCTTATTTGAGCAGATTATTGAACACTTCTATTCGGTATATTTTATTTGTATTAACTAAGGCGCTGCCGTCTTGCTGTTGTTTTTCCCAGCTAGCTTATTTCTATAAAAWTATGCGACTTTTGCAGCTAATTATGACCTTTTCCGCGGCGCGCTCCGCTTATGATATATGATGATTCATGCTTATTTAAAATTCGTAAACAGGCTTAGCTAGCTAACTGAAGTTAAATGTTGATGTTGAATGTATTCTTGTCTTTTTGCAGGACCTGAATAATCGCTGCTTTGCTTAATCTGACTTAGACGTCCCGTCATCGTGATGTATGCCTGTGCTAAGTTCGTCTCTACGCCCTCTCTGGTGAGCAGCTCGAATGAATGGGTGAATGAATGAATGAATGAATGAATGAATGTTCATTTATTACAACTGCTAAACCGCTCCTTTTAAGTGCAGAAAATAACAAATGCTGTTCCATGTTAGCCTGTCATCAGGACTTCAGGTCAGAGGCTACACTGTAGCTAGCTATGCTAGCCGAGCCACAGATGCCTTTGACCCTCTGCTAAAGTCAGCTGGTAGATCCCACCTGCAAGGACGTCGTGCTTTCTGTCAGGACAAATAGCAAACTACATGTTGTTGCCACTATTGTGTGATTTTAGGTGCATATTAATCCACATAATAGAAGTTTAAATACTTCAACGTTGTCAGCTTTTAGATGAGGTATTTAAGTTACAAAGTTTGCTGCTCAGGCAGGATTCATTGGGTCACTGTTGTTTTTTGCTGTTTTACTGTCGATCTGATGCATACTACTTACATTTTCTTGAACCAACTAACCAAAACTCYGGGTTAAATATGAATTCCTTGAATTTTCTCCTTATGTCTTGTTGTTCTTCCTCATTGAAACAGATCCGTGCAGGATCCCGGGCACTGTGCAGACCACTTTCAGCAGCAGTAGTGTCAGACAGGAAAGCGGAGGTAAGCGCCTTGCACAAAAGACTTAGATTATTTACAAATATTCACAACTTTCGGATGATTCCACAGATTAAAACCTTTTTTAGGTTTCTCTTTCATTATTTTACAGGCATAATGAATTGTTAGTTTTTATTTTGATATAATAGTAGTTAGCGTAATGTGTTTTTTTATTTATTTTCCTACAGAGGTGAAAAGGCCACAAGTATAAGTAGAGACCAAACATAGCTGGTCTTAGAGACTTCCTATTTAAAGTTTGACATAAGCTATTAAATTTCTTACTTTCCAAATCAAATAAATACACTAATGAACATCAATATTGAAACTCCGTTTTTGGTTAGCACCTGTTTATGTTGCTTTTTTTTATCGTCCGTTTTTGATGAACTTGTATTTTGTTTTTGATTTCAATTAAAACGATTGTAGTGAAACTTGTAGCAGAGTTTGCAAGTTTCACATCACGTAACAACCATAATGTAGCAAGTAAAACATTTCCTGAAGGTACCTCAGATAAATATGATGATTAGTGTTTTGTTTAGTTCTTAAATCACTTTCTTGGCATATTTCAGACCGCTTCGCTCCTGGCACCTGTGAGTCTCGCAGCCTCCCAGCAGCAGGTGGCAGTGCGGGGGATCCAGACCAGCGCTGTGAGCCGCGATATTGACACAGCTGCCAAGTTTATTGGAGCCGGAGCTGCAACTGTAGGTGTGGCGGGATCTGGAGCTGGGATTGGAACTGTGTTTGGCAGCCTTATTATTGGTTATGCCAGGTAAGATCTTTTGGACGTTACCACCGTTTTATTATGGAAAGTTGGTTTGCTTTACGTTTTTGACCTGGCCGGGCTACTGTTTAATAATAATTAAAAAATATATATAAGATTTTGCTGGCAAATACTCTGTCGGCTAGAAAACTTGAAATGTTGGTACTTTATTCAAACTTAGATTCTTGTTTCACTGTTATTAACTTAAACCTCCACCTTGTTTTGTCTGGCCTCTGTTTTTCCTCAACAGGAACCCCTCTCTGAAGCAGCAGCTGTTCTCCTACGCCATCCTGGGCTTTGCTCTGTCTGAAGCTATGGGTCTCTTCTGCCTGATGATTGCATTCCTTATTCTMTTTGCAATGTAAATCACTTTGGCATTTAAAATACACAGAAACATAATCATGTTAACAAGAGAGAGATGTTGGAATAATGGAAATGATCTCAGCTCATTTTGATGGCTAGTCGTATCYGTGTTTGTTGAAAGTTTGTTAATCTGGTGTTGTAAAGAACCCACGCTGAACAAATCATTTTAAATGAAGGTTCTGAGATAGTGTATCCAGTCAAATGTTTTTGTTAGCAAATATGAAGCCAATATCAYAAATAAAACAGTAACCTCTTCACAAGTGTCTTTGTTTCTTTATTATTTTTCTTAAGGGAATATATGTCCTGWGAAACACACTAGCATACAATGTCCAGAAAGACCAAATTGTCCCCCTTAGCAGCTGTTGCCTTTTTTTTTAAATTTTTATTCTAATTCTGTTGAACTGCCAGTAAATAAGAGGCAAACACATCGGTTTGACATAAGAATAAACTTGTCAATGAGATCTGTTAACCTTAAGTTTTTTTGTCTGTGCAGTCAGTCCATTGTTTTAATAAAATTTTAATAAAATTAGTCATTATCGGCGAGACAGGGAAACTCTCGCGAGAATTTCCTGCAACGAGAGCAAACATGTCTGAGGAGCAACTAGCTAACGATAGAAACGTCAAGTGAAACGCTTCGAACCTCAAAGCAACACCAAATTAAGATTTAACAATTTAAAATCCTAACGACTCGTTTTAAATTTATGTTAAATCATAACATCTTCACAAGATCTTTCGGTTTTAGCTTTCAAGCGGAACTAAAAGCTAGTCGTGCAGTGACGGGGGACGGATTTCAAGAACGTACTTGTCAGTTCCATATTTAAAACAGATTTTTTTGAAGTTAGAATAATTTATTTGTTTCATTTATGCAGGAATCATCGTTACTTTTGACTTAAGAATATGTGGAGGAAAATTTATCTCGAAACTAAAAGGATAAGATCGATATCGCTGTCGTTAAACCGCCAAACTGTTCCAGATGGTTTTTTACAGGAGGTTAAACGAGAAGAGTCTTTGGAAAGCAAGGTAAGCAATCTTTATAATGTGTTATTGAAGATTCTGATGTTTCTTTATCTCTGTCTGGTTTAAACCTCGTTTATCTTGCTTTGTTAGAGACCAGCAGTTTCTGACACTAACACCACATTTTGTAGCACTACAATTGTAAAATAATGTAAACGAGCCTGTATATAAACAAGTCTCTGACAGAGTTCAGAGGTAAAGTAACACAGAGCCGAGATAGTGTCTGAATTTGACCATTAGCCTTCTTTTCTTTTTAGCCACAGTGTCCACCAGGGGTAGCTGGTGCTTAAGATATTTTTGAGCTTCAGTCAAACATTTTAAATTGAATATTCTTCTCAAAATATTATGTTCACCARCACTTTAAGTGTTTTTTATATATAAATTGTTCAGTTAAAGTTAACTTATCATAAGGCTGGATCTATTTGCAGTGATGCAAAGCATTAACATTTATTATTTAGTCAAATTAGCACCAAGGATTTATTTTCTTAATTTAATTTTAATAGAAAAAACTGTGATAGGCATCAATAAAAACACAATAACAAAGAACAAGTTTTTCTGTTACAAACAAAACAGCATTTCAAAATGTTCCACGTTTAGCCTTTGCAATGTAAAGTTCAACCAGTTCGATGAAAAGCTTAAGTGACTTATTTTAAAGTAAATTGTTTTAAAACATGTTTGTTTTGTAATAGGCAAGAAGAATAATAAAAAAACAGAGACCCTTTTGTTCTGCAGTCCTTGATCACTTTGATCATCAGTACAATGAGGAACTTGGAGACTTGTGGCCATCTGCAAGGTGATTTTAATTTATTTTTCTAGAATAATTATTGCAGCCTAAACACAATAGTACTCTTTTTCTTCACTGGGAATGTTTTTGTCCTGCAGAGTAGCACTCCTGGATCGTCAGTCCTGGCAGTATGGAGTCATGTTAAACCGCTTCAGCACTGTGACAGATAAAACCCAGGTTCTTCAGGCCTTGGGCTTTTCATCATTGCCACAACAAACYCATGTCTCAGCATTGCTTTGTGATGGTGCCTCCGCTGTGTCTAATTCTAAACTTGAAGAAAGACAAGACACTTTGTTGTCACCTCCCTACGTTTCAAAGTGCCCTCCCGAGGACTTCAGCCTCCAAACTGACACCTCCTCTCAGGACCCTCTGTCAGAGTTTGCTCTCAGTTTGCCCCATTCTTCATTAAAATGTTACATCCACCCACATACGCTGCGGTTTCCCTCTCAGGCTTACAGGCCCGACCGCTTGAAGCAGTACTACCTCCTGAACGCCGCCTCTCTGCTTCCAGTTTTGGCTTTGCAGGTCAGAGACGGGGACAAAGTTTTGGACCTTTGTTCTGCCCCGGGGGGCAAAGCTGTAGCCATAATGCAGAGCGCAACTCCAGGTAAATAAATCTTGTAATGAAAATAAATGAAGTTGAAAGTAAAAAAAAAACCAAAAAAAAAAAAAAAACCTGGGGTTTCTGACAGTCATTGTATGTATATGTAAATATATATGATGCATATATAAGTATATATGT